CTTCTGACTTTTCGGATCTGCATACTTGTTCTGGATCAGGGATACAGGAAGCACTAAAGCCAGAGGATCAAGAAGTAAGGTACCATTTTCAGCAGAAGATCAACAATGGCAGCTCTGTTTTCATTTAACTTTTTATGAGCTTTTGTTGTAAACCAGAGTTACATCTAAGGGTGAAAAATGCTGAATTAGAATTCTTTGGCAGGCTTGTTGCATTGTATTGTATTACACGGTTTATGTGTAAGTGACATGTCATCCTTTTTTCCAGAGATCACAGACTATGTCATGTCCATCCCCTTTGTAAGGCAGCAGATCTACAAGACCGTGGAGAAGAGAGTCCTGAAACTGACCAAGGGCCTGTACCCGGCTCCCCTGAAAATCATTGAGGTATTCACGTCTAGGCCAGTGATGGTTAAAGCAGAATTTTTCTTTTTTTTTTTTTTTACCATCCAGTGGCGCTGTGCCCCCACTGCATGGATCAGCTGCTTGTTGTTTTTTTTTTTTTTTTTTTTTTTTTTTTCCTAGGGGTGAGAACTAATCTCATACCTGACCCTGCCGATCCTACAAAAAATTGCACTCTCTCACTGTCCAGCGATGGACTGTGCCTGTCTGTGGAGCACGCATTCAATGTGCTGACATCAGGAACAGTCCATTTACAAGACCGCTGGACCGCGGAGGTGCTGAAGCAGAAAGTTCCGGTCTTGTGTGGGGAGGATCGGTAGGTCGGGAGAGTATATCTACGGTGTCCTCTCTCCTGGAACAAAACAAGCATTTTAACCCGTGCAGTGACGGCACATTCTCACTGCACGGGCAAAAACCTTTTTTTTTCCCGGATTTCTGCTTTAACTTGTTATAGGGGGCATAAATGTGGCCCCTGACAACATCAAAGGGCAGCGCTTCGTATTCAGTATATGTAATACTATGCAAGTGGAGATGGTCAGAGGCTACTGGCGTACTACAAGAAATGGTCACAATTTAGGAGTTGGGGACTGGGAACCATTGTGCACTGAGGACACATTAGAGGAGACCCCTGCTTATTACAACCCCTTATACAGCACTTCCACGTTTGTAAAGTCTACGGACAAATCTATGTGCTGCGTTTTGGTCCTTCTCTCAGCAAAATTCATTAAGGATGAGCGGAGAAAAAAAAAAGGATATACAGTTGTGTTCAAAATAACAGCAATCAGACATCACTAACCGGATCAATCACTGTTTTTGATAGAAATGATATTTGTACATGGCAAATAATTTACTATCAGGTGTAGTAGAGTAATAGAAATCCAACAGACCCAACAGTCATGACATGCATGCTGCTGATTCTGTGTCATTGAATCACTCATTGAAAGGGGCATGTTCAAAATAATAGCAGTGTGGAGTTCTATTAGTGAGGTCATTCATTCATTGAAAAACAGGTGGCAATTATTGCCCTTATTTAACCGTTTCAATACCGTGCAATTTTACACCTTCCTGCCCAGGCCAGTTTTCAGGTTTCAGCGCTCTCACACTTTGAATGACAATTGCGCGGTCATACAACATTGTACCCAAACTAAAATTTTATAATTTTCTTCACACAACTAGAGCTTTCTTTTGGTGGTATTTAATCACCGCTGGGGTTTTTATTTTTTTGCTAAATTAACAAAAAAAAAAAAAACTTTTTAAAAAAAAAAAAACACGTTTTTCTTTCTTTGTTATAAAAGTTTGCAAATAATTGTTCTTCATAAATTTAGGCCGAGATGTATTCTGCTACATGTCTTTGGTGAAAATAACCCAAATTAGGATGTATTATTTAGTTGGTAGGAAAGTTATAGAGTTCACAAACTATGGGATAGATCTGAATATTGATCGATCCTGAAGTACTGACAGCCAATCTAATTTCTTGAGGTCCAAGAATGTCAGAACAGTACAGATATCCCCCAAATGACCCCTTTTTGCAGAGTAGACAGTCCGACGTACTTCATAAGAGGCATGGCGAGTTTTTTGAAGTTGTATTTTTTTTTTGTCATAATTTTTCGGAAAATGAAAAAAATTAAAAAAAATTAGTTTCACTATTTTTTTTTTTGTACATATTGTCACTAGTGCAGTACAGCGTCGTCATATAACTGGCATGGCGGTGATCAGGGACACTGACTGGTGACAGTATGGAAAAAAAAATATATATATATATTTTTATTATTTTTTATTAATTTTTTTTTTCTTTTTTTTTAAGATTTTTTTTTTTCATATTTCACCATAGTAAGATTGTACTACTTTGGGGAAGTGATCAGTTTTTCTTTTTTTTTTTTTTTACACAATTTGCTTTTAGCAAAGAATTACTTTGCTGTAAACAAGCATTTACCTGAATGACATTGATTCATTCAGGGTTTTTTTTTTTTTTTTTTTTGTGATGTGGCCACAGCTAATCACATGACATATGCATGTGATTAGCTGTGACCATTCACAGCTAGACACTAGTATACAATGGATGGCATGAATGAAGCCATCCATTGTATACAACTGTCATGTGACCTGCTGTGATTGGTCACAGCAGGTCACATGATACTGGCAACGGGGACAGATACTCAGATCTGTCATCGGCCGTGACCGAGGTACACGGCCGGTGACAGATCGCGCCACTGCGCGGCTCTGCAGGAGCGCGATCTGCGCATGTGCGGGAGGACGCCATATGGCGTCTACCCGGAATGCTGATGACATTTGCCGGCCGCCATTCGGCTATAGGGCGGGCGGCAAATGGTTAAGGAAGGAAGGCAGCAAATGTTGTACATGCTGGTTACAGTGCATTTCTCTCTGAAATTCTGAGGAAAATGGGTCGTTCCAGACATTGTTCAGAAGAACAGCGTACCTTGATTAAAAAGTTGATTGGAGAGGGGAAAACATATAATGAAGTGTAGAAAATGATCGGCTGCTCAGCTAAAATGATCGCAAATTCTTTAAAATGGCAACCAAAACCTGAAAGACGAGGAAGAAAGCGAAAAACTACCATTCGAATGGATAGAATAGCCAAAATAGTAATGGCAACAATCAGGGACTTATAGCGAGACTGCGATTGTTGCAGTGGGCATTTTTCACTGACACTGAGCCAGTGACACTATTACAGTGATCAGTGCTAAATATATGCACTGACACTAGTACTAGGATCGCTGGTTTGAATCCCAACCATGGCACCACCTGCCTGCAGTTTGCATGTTCTCCCTGTGCCTGCGTGCATTTCTTCTGGATACTCCAGATTCCTCCCACACTTCAAAGGCATGCTGGGAGGTTAATCGGATCCTGTCTAATTTGGTCCTAGTATGGCCCTAGTATGTGTATGTATGAATCTATGTAAGTTATGGACCTTAGATTGTACGCCCCTTGAGGGTTAGGGACTGATGTGAATGTACAATATATATGTAAAGCGCTGCGTACATTGACTGTGCTATATAACTACCTGTAATAAAAAAAATACATAACGCCACTGGCTGGGAAGGGGTTAAACATCTAGGGCAATCAAAGCGTTAACTGTGTGCTAGAGAGTGTTTTAGTGTACTGTTACATGCTTTTACTAAGGGAAGTGATGGATCTTGTTCCTTGTTTTGCAGGGACACATGATCCATCACTTATCCTCTACTTCAGTGGTTCTCAACCTGTGGGTCGCGACCCCTTTGGGGGTCGAACGACCCTTTCACAGGGGTCCCCTAAGACCATCAGAAAACACATATTTCCGATGTGTAAAGAGCAGCTACTGTGTAGAAAGCAGCTACTGTGTAGAAAGCAGCTACTGTGTAGAAAGCAGCAGTATTGGAGGTAAAACGACACTCATGAATTATAATTACTGGGTAAATAATTTTGTGGTTGGGGGTCACCACAACATGAGGAACTGTATTAAAGGGTCACGGCATTAGGAAGTTTGAGAACCACTGCTCTATTTGAACAAAGCTCGGCCTTGCTTACATAGGCAGAGCTCTGTTCTGTGCCTCTGCCTGATGATTGGTGGGTGCGAACATGCGGTCACCGGCACTTGTAGATCAGCTATTTCTGTGTTCACATGCATCACGTTTCTATGTGTGATTTTTGCATAGTATGGCCGCCCTGTTGCAGTAAATCTGGTATGGGGCGGTCTTTAACCTCTTGCCAACCTCGCTATAGCCAAATGACAGCTACAGCAGGGCTGTCCATTTCTAAGAGGGTGTCATATAACATCCTCCCGGAAGGTGCCCTCTCGCACGCCTCCAGTGGCGCAAACCCGGCAATCTCCGCGATCACTGTGTCCTACGGACATAACTGATCACGTGATGAGGTAAAAGGCCTTTCATACCATGTGATCAGCTGTATCCAATGACACAGCAGATCATGCAGTAAATACAGTTGCCGATTATCAGCAGCACTTTCATTACGCTGTCACAGTGTGAGGAAGGTACTGCTGATCAGCAATTGTCATAGAACAAATCTGCACTATGATCAGTGCTGCCCGTCAGTGTTGCCTATTAGTGCCGCATATGAGTGCAGCCTCATCATTACACATCAGTGAAGGAGAAAAATTACCTGTTTGCAAAATTTTAGAATAGACAAAAACTTTTTTTTTTTCAATTTTTTTTGTTTTTACTGCAAAAAATAAAACACCCAGCAGCGATTAAATACCACCAAAAGAAAGCTTTATTTGTGTGGAAAAAAAGGTAAAGATTTCATATGGATACAGTGTTGCATGACTGCGCAATTGTCATTCAAAATGCGACAGCGCTGAAAATTGTCCTGGGCACAAAGGGGGTAAAAGTGCCCGGTAGGCAAGGGGTTAATAAATGATACCTTCTAGTCATTAGCTTTTTAACTGATTCTAGTTGCAGAATTGTATATCTGTGTACATTATCATAAATGTGTATCATAATAGCATATTTTCGCCCGTTGAAGTTCTCCGTTGACATCGCTGCTTCCATCTTCTCTCTCTCTCAGGTGGTGAAGACAGGATTGGATACGGGTTCTGAGGCTGGATATCTGGCAGAGTCAAAGGTAAAGTGTTTGCTGAAGTTAAGTCAGTTTGCTAGGTGTAGATGGCTGTTTTAACACCCATGCCAGCTGTGTGTTTTGCATTGGTGTCGAGTGTCATAATTCTGCACCAAGTAGATGATAAACACTCTTTAAGCTCTTCACGCCTGCCGAACGCAAATGTGTCCTAGACGCTGAGCGGCCGCACATTTGCGTTCTATTAAAAAAGGACATATGTGCCGAGAGCGAGCGCCCTGTGTGCCCTCAGCACACATGTCCGGTACTCACTGGAAAGGTCCCAATCTCCTTTTTCGATCGGGACCTTTCCCAATCATGTGACGCGCATCACGGCGGTCACATGACCCTAAACCCCGCCCCGCCTCCTGGCTCCTGAAACTCATAAAGGGCCGGAAGGTGCTGGCGTGAAGGGGTTAAGGTGTGTGTGTGTGTGTGTGTGTGTGTGTGTTAGTTAAAAAATACGTGGAGGTCTGAAGGCAGCTGCTATCTGTTGAGGCGGGGGGGGGGCTGAATGTACCTGTAAAAGTGTACACTGACTTGACCTTGTGTCCTGCCCCTTCGCATGGCACATAGGATTAATTGCCCAGTTCACCCATTTCTGAGATTATGTAGCTGCTGTCTCTGTATCTTCATTCTCCTCTTTCTTGCAGAGCTTTGGTGAGCTAGCAATGACCGGCGAATCAAAAGCTCTGATTGGACTCTACCATGGACAGGTTCAGTGCAAAAAGAATAAATTTGGCGCTCCGCAGAAAGAAGTCAAGTAAGTGTCTGGTCCAAAAATCTTATCTGTATTTCCCTTGTTAAAGTTGAATGTAAGGCTACTACTGTTCCCCTTCTGCCTACTGGCAGCAGGGAAAGGGGGATTTGCACACTCCACAAACCCAACTGTTAGCTTTCTGATGAAAGCAGCAGCCATTCAAAGAGCCAGTTAGTTGTGCTTCCCTCATGTTAGGGGACATAATGATGGGAGAGCTCATCAGTGTACAAATTGTCATGCGATTTGACTATTCAAATTGCATGCAATGATCAGCAATGGAACCGTTCTAATTGGTGCGACAACGATTTAGAAACTTAGTTCCTGCACTACTTTTGCCAATTCGGGGTGCGACTTGCATAGACATCTGTGCATGAAGTCGCACAGATGTCTATCAAATCTCACTGCCATCCGAGTTTGAAATCGTACCACGTATTATTTATTTCAGGTACTTATATAGCGCCGTCAATTTACGCAGCACTTTACATATATATTGTACATTCACATCAGTCCCTAACCCTCAAGGGGTGTACAATCTAAGGTACTTCAAGTGAAGTCACACGATTTCAAAGTCAGATCCAGTTTGAACCAGGGCTAACTGTCCAAGTCACAAGTTGGTGATGGTACAAGACCTTTAAATTACTAAACTGCAGCAAAGAGAAGAGGTCTCTTGCTTTGCCAGACAGGTGTGTGCTGGGTGTCCAAGCTGAGTAAACCCTAAGACTGGATGGACTGAAATACAGATCGTTTGGCAGCTAAACCGGCTGTATGTGTATTTCCTCTGTGTATTAGAGCAGGGGTCTACAAACTTTGTAAACAAAGGGCTGTTTTACTGTCCTTCAGGATTTAAGGGGGCCAAACTGTGGCCAGTGTGAGTAGAAAATGTCCCGGCATCAGTGAGAGTAAACACTGCTCCATTTGTTGGTTTTAGCAGAAGGAAAGTGCCCCATTGTTGGTATCAACGGGAGGCACAGTGCCCCATTAATGGTGTCAGTGGGAGGAATGGTGCCGCATCATCATTGTCAATTCGAGGAATAGTGTCCCAAGGGCCAGATAGTCAAGTAAAGGGCTGCATTTGTCCCCCGGGCCGCAGTTTGGAGACCACTGTATTAGAGGAACTTTACCCATAACAACTTGGAAAAAAAAAAATGCTCTTTAGCAAGGAACATACATTCCACAATAATTATGCTACCAAAATGAGTATGTGCTGTAAGTTGCCTCCAGAATTGTTCCTGTTTTTTCTGGTCGTAGGCTCCCATTTTGCTGAAGCTCTGAGCAGCAGTAAATCTTTTGGCTGTCTGCAGATCAGCCTCTACATTTTCAGCACAGTGCCTTAAAATAGAGAGCAACTGAGCATGTGCAGAGCAGGGGAGAGAGTGTATTGCTGAATTTTAAACAGGAAAGGCACTTATTTTTAATCTTTTACATAGCTGTACTTGCTAAAGGGTTCAGCCTGAAATGATCTAGCAGGACTTAATTTTGTGACTAAAGTTCCACTTTAAAGTGGTAGTAAACTCGTTTTTTTTTTTTTTTTAATTTTACCTACAGGTGAGCTTATAATAAAGCTTTCCAATTGATAAAATGAATATCTCCATTGTTTAGGAGATAATTGTTTTTTTCTAAAGCCGGTGTATGTGCTCTGAAGGAACGGCATATCCGTTCTGTTCCTTCAGAGCTGTGTGCCGTGGCACGGGACTCCCACGCGCATGCGCAGGAGTGATGTCTTTGCAACCCGGCCTGTCAGACGGCCGGAGATCACGAACATGGAAGAAGGAAGCCTTTTCAGTGGTGACAGCACACCGCTGGAGGGCTTCGTTTTAACCACCTCCCACCTGGCCAATGTACATAAATGGCCAGGTGGAAGCTTCCCCATTCTGAGTGGACATTCCTGTACATCCCCTAAGTCGCGCAGCAGCGTGATTCTGTGATGGCTGTGCCCCTCGGGCACATCTCTGAATGTCAACAGAGTCATGTGTCTCTGTAGCTGTTTCCCTCCGCTGAGCTCTGTGAGAGCTCAATGAGGGGAAGGGGGGATTCTGCAAACTGTGACAGCTGATCTGTGTAGCTGATGCTTTTATCCATTAGTTACACAGATCTGCAGCCATCCCACACTAGTGCACCAAACACCATTTGCCCCTGTCCACATGTCAATATCTGTCTCGGCGTACAGTGCACAAAAACATCTGTTGCAGAGTTCCAGTGCACAAAATAAATAATAAAAAATTTAAAGTACCCCTGTCCCCCCTTGCTCACATGCAAAGGCGAACGCACTCATTGGTCTCATACACATATGTAAACAGTGATCGCACCACACGTGAGGTATCGCAACAAACGTCAGAGCGAGGGAAATAATTCCAGCACCAGACCTCCTCTGCAACTCTAAACTGGTAACCTGTAAAGGATTATAAAGCATCACGTATGGAGATTTTTAAATACCGTAGTTTGGCACCATTCCATAAGCGTGTGCAATTTTAAAGTGCGACACATTTACTTAGTGTAACATCATATTTTACCAAAAATGTATTTGCGTGCATTAAAATTCTTTAAGGTAAGTTTTACATAACGTACTAGTATGCGATGCATTCTAGCACATTATGGAATTACCTTGCAGGGGACTTTCCTTTTTTACTTTTTACTTTCCTTTTTCCCCCTTTTCCCTTTTCCCTTTTCCCTTTTCCTTTTTCCCTTTTTCCTTTTCCCCTTTCCTTTTTCCCCTTTCCTTTTTCCCCTTTCCTTTTTTTTTCCTTTTTCCCCTTTCCTTTTTCCCCTTTCCTTTTTCCCCTTTCCTTTTTCCCCTTTTCCTTTTTCCCCCTTTTTCCTTTTTCCCCTTTCCTTTTTCCCCTTTCCTTTTTCCCCTTTCCCTTTTTCCCCTTTTTTTTCCCCTTTCCCTTTTTCCCCTTTCCTTTTTTTTTCCCCTTTTTCCTTTTTTCCCCTTTCCCCTTTCCTTTTTTCCCTTTTTTTTCCCCTTTCCCCCCTTTCCTTTTTTCCCCTTTCCCCTTTCCTTTTTTCCCCTTTCCCCTTTCCTTTTTTCCCCTTTCCCTTTTTTTTCCCCTTTCCCTTTTTTCCCCTTTCCCTTTTTTCCCCTTTCCTTTTTTCCCCTTTTCTTTCCCTCTTTCCCCTTTCCTTTTTTCCTTTTCCCTTTTTCCCCCTTTCCCTTTTTTCCTTTTCCCTTTTTTCCTTTTCCCCTTTCCCCTTTCCCCTTTTTTTCCTTTCCCTTTTCCCCTTTCCTTTTTTCCTTTTCCCTCTTTCCCCTTTCTTTTTTCCTTTTCCCTTTTTCCCCTTTCCTTTTTTCCTTTTCCCTTTTTCCCCTTTCCTTCTTCTCCAGCTTTAAAGGGAAACCTCTTTTGGTGAATGTGTGTTTTGTATATTCACCCTCTATCTGTATATCCAGCAGTGTTATTGGCATTATAGCTGTATACACCTCAGTTGGCACAATTGTTTTATAGCAGTACATAAAGTGTTTTAACGCTGTCTGTCCTCCTGTTTCCAGAAATTTGGCCATCCTGGGCGCTGGTCTGATGGGAGCTGGTATTGCTCAGGTCTCTTTGGATAAAGGTATCAAGACCATTTTGAAGGATACAACGGTGGAAGGTCTGGGCAGAGGACAGCAGCAGGTCTTCAAAGGGTAAGAGGAAGGAAGGGTTGGGCAGAGGGCAGCAGCTGGTCTACAAAGGGTAAGAGTAAGGAAGGGTTGGGCAGAGGGGAGCAGCAGGTCTACAAAGGGGAAGAGTAAGGAAGGGTTGGGCAGAGGCAGCAGCAGGTCTACAAAGGGGAAGAGTAAGGAAGGGTTGGGCAGAGGCAGCAGCAGGTCTACAAAGGGGAAGAGTAAGGAAGGGTTGGGCAGAGGCAGCAGCAGGCCTACAAAGGGGAAGAGTAAGGAAGGGTTGGGCAGAGGGGAGCAGCTAGTTTACAAAGGATAGCAGTAAGGAAGGTTTTTACATCTGACACCCTTTCTTCTTCATCACTTTCTCATCTCTAGTACACAGGTAAATGCAAGACCTTCTAGTTTTTGAAGGTGGTGTGTAACATGGTAAAATCTTCAATCCAGCAATGATACTCCTCTTCACCTATTCTGTGGACTGTGTGGCCCTCGATGATGCTTCACGGCGCCTTGCACTCATCGTGTAATGATGCAGAGTGAGGCTCTGTTGATGTTGTAACGTTGCATTGAGTGGCAGGGCAGTGTGGGGACAACCATCTCCCAGTGGGATGGGTTCATAACAACAGCACTTACAGTATGTCCTGAGTTTTTCAAGCTGAATGATGCTGGAGCCAGAAAACTGAGAGTACATTGAGTGAAAAGAGATTACTACGGGGATCTCTAGCTAAAAATCATCAATTTTCTGTATTCAAACTCTGAAGGATTAATCTAAAATGATTGCCAATTATACGATTGCCCTGCCCTTGAATCTAGGTTGTGCTGAGACAAAAAAAGCAATGTGATTTTTATTATGCTGACAAATTATGCAGTACATTTAAAGTGAACCCGTTGCTTGCTCATACCAAAGCCTTGTGTAAATGTCCCAGAGGAGCTTACATTCTAATGCGGGGGTCAACAACCAGTAGATCACGGCCAGGTGTCTGTTAGATGCTTGGGATGGCGGGTCATTCTACCAAAGTGCAATGCAGAGGGACTACTTGTAAAGTTGGATCTGTAGTAGGGAACAAGAGCCGCATAAGCTGATGCATCCTCGGTAGTGCCGGCTCCTGTCCCATACCCCATAGCAACTGCACTCCAGCTCTTCTCCTGGCTAGCAGTCTCCAGAGCGTTGCCAGCAGAACAGGAAAGAAGAGATCCTCGGGTCATTGTGAAGCAATACACTGGGCAGAATAGAGCATCAGTATGAAAGAAGCCCTATACTGTGGTTTACCCTCACCGCAGGTGCAGCTTTTCCTTTTCATAGACTTCCATTATATCCTCCGGGTTTAATGCACTCTCTGAAAGCACACCAAAACTCCTGAGTGCGGGTGTTTTGGTGTGCTTTCAGAAAGTGCCCCATACCTTCAGGATATAATGGAAGTCTATGGCAAAGGAAAGCTAACCCTGGAAAGTCGCAGATGCACTGTGCTGCCCCCTCAGTGCAGATAAACCGCAGCACATCAGTGTGAAAGCGCTAGGTAGAGAAGACGGTCGGTGAAACCAGCGGTGGTGAGGACATCGCTAGACTGAGGGACAGGTAAGTGTCTGTATTTTAAAAGTCAGCAGCTGCAGTTTTTGTAGCTGCTGACTTTTTTTTTTTTTTTTCAGGTGAAACTCCGCTTTATGCCGGCCATACACGGGTCGAAATGGGCCGATTTTGTGTCCGAAAGAATAATCGGCCGATTTTCGCAATATTAGTGGGTTAATATCGGCGGCCGTTTTTTTGCCGTTCCTCCTCTTTTGGATTATCGGGCATGTTGGAAAATTCGTGAAAAACGACCAATTTTCGCGTCAATGGTGGTCAAATCGTACTATCGTTTTTACGAAAAGAATATGCGCATGAGCTGTGACCTGGAAGGACTTAAATAGTTTTTGTAATCGTCAGGATTGTTTTCTTTTATTTCAGGTACTTATATAGCGCTGTCAATTTACGCAGCGCTTTTTTATATATATATATATATATATATATATATATATATATATATATTATAATATATTCTACATTCACATCATTCCCTATCCCTCAAGAAGCGTACAATCTAAGCTACTTATATAGCGAAGTCAATGTACGCAGCGCGTTTACATATATATTGTACATTCACATCAGTCCCTACCCTCAAGGGGTGTACAATCTAAGGTCCCTAACTCACATCCATACAAACACATACTAGGGACAATTAGACAGGAACCAATTCAACTACCAGCATGTCTTTGGAGTGTGGGAGGAAACTGGAGTACCCGGAGAAAACCCACGCAGGCACAGGGAGAACATGCAAACTCCAGGCAGGTGGTGCTGTGGTTGGGATTTGAACCAACAACCCTAGTACTGCCAGGCGGCAGTGCTAACCATTTAGCCACTTTGCTGCCCATGCCCATCTTTTAAATTTCAAAGCAGGTTCATGTGGGAAAACATGGCCTGTTGAAGAAGCCAGACTTTGGACCATACTCTGCTCTTCCTTTTTTTTTTTTTTTTTTTTCTTTTTTTTTTTGCTCCTCCAGTGCTACCAAGGAGATGTTGCTGGACATTTTCGTACAATATCTACAGATTTTTCGTGTGTGCAAAACGATTGCGATATTTGTTCCATCAGCATCTCTGTATAGTGGGGGAGGGTCTGAAAGGTCAAAAATGACATCATTTCCTGTTGTATGTGATGAAGTTTATGACTTGGTCGGCCAATTTTTGCAATCGTTGGTGTTTACGTCGGTTTAAAGAACAAACGATGTTTCGTTTGTTGGACGACTAACGGCCGATAAACGACCCGTCTACGGCCTGCATTAAGGTAAAAATCTTTTTTTACTGCTGCTTCATAATCTAATTGGAGAATCTGCAAATGAGGCACTCTTCCTTAAGTGACTTTCCAGCTCCTGGTAAGTGTAGGGTAGAACTGTCCTCTCATTTAGAGCTTGTTAGAGATTAACAATATTCCTACAACATGTAATGATATTTGATCACAGGCAAGTTTCCACCACTGCATATGTTGTCAAAGTCCAAGATCCAACCTGTCCTTCACTAAGTTGGCAAGGCATCCTGGGACTCTGGCAATTATTTTTATTCAAGATTCTCCTTCACTCATGTCTGGGTTCTGTAGTTAAGAACCTTGTACTGTAATCCAGACATGTCCAGGACATCCGTGGACTCCCTCCTAGAACTACTAGCTGACTGCACTGCAGCTCTCTTTTGGCCATAGCGCATTCAGGAACTGGTTAACCCCCCTGGAGGTATTCCCGAGTGTAGCTCGGGGTAAAGTTTCAGCACCACAAGCGGTAACCCTGAGCTACACTCGGGAATACACTGCAGCGTTGCTCCGGGATCTCTTCTTGACTTACCTTGTCCTGCGCTCCCGCGATTTCCCCCCTGCAGTGTCCCCGGCAATGTCCTCCAGCCGATGCCGGCATCTGTCTTCTGGGTTCTGTTCCCTGCGAGCGTCGGGACGTACGGGGGACGGGACTGGCGGGAAATTTAAAAATGTGAAAAAGTGACATTCACTAAATACACTTATAAATAAAAAAACAATGTAGCGCTACTCACATAATAAACAAGTGCATATAAATATATAGTAAGGAAAATATATACGAGCGTACCCACAAACAGAGTATAGCAGCTGCACACCAGGTAACCATAAAAACCTCCTAAAACAATATAATATAATATAATTGCATATAAATATATATATACCAAGTGTATCAATTAGTGAAAAATGCCAAATCAACTATTGACCAAGTGATTTCATGCAAAAATCAAAACAATTATATGTGAACACAAAATGTGATGGAGATAATAATTGAAAACAATTGATGCTGAATAAATACAATCTTCAGAAATAATTATAATGACCTAAATCATATGGAAAACATCTCTTTATACAAATCCATTAAGTGTAACTAATATATAAAATCACGCGTGCATATAGTGAACATACTATAGTGAAACCACAATACAAAACTACTAAATCAGTGCTCTTAAAGTCCAATATATGCCGATGGTAACACTTAGATGACACACACTCGTGCTGATATTTGTGTGCAAGTGGATATGACAATCCGACCACCGTCTGGATAAGCCTCTCACCTTATAGCTTCGACCCTTGCGGGTCAAAGCGCTTTACTGGATCCTTCTTACGGATCCTCCAAGCCTGCTATCACTCCAAATGGTCGGTCGCTCCTTGTCGCACTCAAATCCCTCAAGGGGTCAGCACTCCACTAATGGCTCCTCTCCAGGTAAGATCAAGTGTAGCACCAATTTTTAGCTTTGTTTAATCCACTGCTGCCTTGATTGCACAGGATCCTCACACATACTGCAGCTTCAGGTTAAATGACTTTGTGCCATGCAACTTCCACTCTCTCAATGAAATAGTCCACTCTGTGGCCCATCATGTTGGTGGATATTGAAGGGCAGGTGAACGCAACTACTTTGCAATGGCCTTTTCATCGTCACCGACTTCCTGAATCCGCTTCTTGTGTCTTCTCCGTTCCGCCTCAATACACTAAAATCACATAGTAAAACATTCCTGTATCAAACCATTTCACATACATTTTGTCCCGAGTGCTTTGTCCGGCGCACTGCCTGCATTTTTACTGTTCTTTCTGCCTGGAAACTGAGAAACGTCCATGGCGTCCAAAAAGCGTCCCTTTAGGTCAAAATTGGTTTTAGACCAGCTAGAGAACAGCGATAGTAAATCAGAACCACTTGCAGAATTGAGTGATAATGATTCGTGGGGGAAATTCCTCATCAGACACTGAAAACGATTTTGCTCAGCGATGTGCGAACTTGGCACTCTACTTCAAATTTCAGTGTTTTTGGTTTGATTATATTATTGAATTAAATTTATTATTATTTTTTATGATTTATTAAATTATAATTTATGATTTCGCGTTTCAAATTTTATCATACCCGGGATGTTTACTAGACTCTTGTTCGGACAGATCTCAGTGAGTTATTCCTAAGAATTACAGGCCTATAATAAAAAAAATACATATTTCCATGCAAAAAAATGTACCGCTTTGAGCACAGAAATACTGACCTAATCAGACCGCTAGGGAGGTTATAGGGTTAATTCACCTATGCATATGCAGATAAGGGCCACTTGTAGATAAAAACAAACTGCGCATCTCTGACCAAAGTGGAATCATGCCCTTACTATAGATGTAAGCCATTTACGTACCTCCCGAAGCCTAGCTGAAAAGCTCCCAGAGATGGTAACCTTTTGCCCTGCCTTGTTGCTAGGACACTTGTAAGCCACTCCCAGCTGATTGAGACCCCCTTGCATGAGTCCACTGATGCTGTAGTAGAGGAGATAATAGACCCCACATGAGCAGGGGCTCTGAAGTCAATCCGGTGCTGGTTGGGGTGAGCAGTTGCAGTTGGGAGTTGCCCATCCACACTACATTGCAGGTAGGCGGTCCTTAAGTGGTTAATGCTTTTGTGTCAGTGGACGAATCTTTAGATAAGTTGTGAAAACTCTCAAAATCCTTTGCTAGTACAGTATTGGAAGTAAAGGCCTTGTAATTATTTATACCTACAGGTAAGCGTATGATAAGGATTCCCTTGTAGGGCCAGTAAATATCTCCTAAACATGCACTCTATAGGAGATATTTACTTCAGTGGCACCGATGTCACATGCACACTGCGCTCTCAATTGACGCCACCCTGTGTCGCAGCGATGACTCCCGTACGCAAGTGTGCGAGTGATGTCATCGCGGCTCAGCCAGTCAAAGAGCAGCAGCGAACCCCAAAGGAAGACTGGGTGAAGAATGGCAAACCTGTCAGCGGTGACCGCACTCCACTGGTCAATATATCCTGTCCCTCAGACACAGCGGATCACCAATCAGCGGAAAGAGCCAAAGATGTTGGCTCGGTCATGTGATCAGCTGTGTCCAATCACAGCTGATCACATGTAAATAAGGAAATGTCGGTTATCGCATTTTTCTCCTCACGAGCTGTCACGCTGACAGCTCAAGAGGAGAGGAGAGCCGGTAATCGGCATTCCTCAGAGGGGACATGTACACTGATCCTGTCCTGCCAGCATATTGGAGAGTCTGACCACTGCCCTCATATAAGCAACATCTTGGCTGTCCAGTAGACCCACTTGTCTACTGCTCCAACAGGAGAGGCTCGTAGAGTGAGGGCACTGTTGATTGAATCATTGTGCATGGAGGTGTCAGACCAGTAAAACTAGTGGTCCAGCACAGGTTGTGTGTTTTTTTTTTTTTGTGTTTTTGTGCTTTGTTTTCATTTTTTTTTTTTTGTTTTTTTGAGTTGTGTGGGTTTTTTTGAGTTTGTGTTTCTTTTTGAGTTTTTTTCATAGATATTATTACTATGCAGCCTGACTGCATTACAGTAATAAACAAAGGGGGTGCAATGGGGCTTTAACTGTTTATTTGATAAAATGAAGATTGTACACCTCTCCAAACATGCTATGTGTGCCTTGTTTATGTGATGCCATTGTCCTCTCTGCTGCAGCCTGAATGACAAGGTGAGGAAGAGGACTCTGACCTCCTTTGAGAGGGACAGCGTGATGAGTAACCTGACGGGACAGATGGACTATAAGGGCTTTGAGACTGCAGACATGGTGATTGAGGCCGTCTTCGAGGACATTAAAATCAAACACAAAGTGCTGCAGGAAGTGGAGGCTGTGAGTTTCAGATCCTATTTCATGTACAAACGTCAGTATTATATATATATATATATATTATAGCTATGCTTTGGCTTCTTTATAACACTGAATGCCTGTTGTCCACAGGTTGTCCCCCCTCACTGTATATTTGCCAGTAACACATCCGCCCTTCCAATTGGTCAGATCGCTGCAGCCAGTAAAAGACCAGACAAGGTGAGTCCGTTGTTCTGTTGTACCTTTCAGAATTGAGGATTAAGTTCACATTTTATAACATGTTACACCCGTGTTCAGGGTGTAACATGTTACTAAATCAGCAGCCCCCGATTTTTTTTTTTTCCCCCCCTCTCTGATTTTGATAGCGGGCAGGGGATCTTCTCCCTGTGGCTGTGCAGGACTCCTCCACCCAGCCATATCATTTATTCATTCAGAGTTCTCTGAATAAACTATAACTACCTTCAGCCATTGCATCGGACAGCTTGTAGTTCTCAGTGAACTACGAGGGTGATGGTGAGCGCTGCCATAGTTCATTGATCTTCCTGGCCTTCAGTAAATGCCTGTCTATATGGGGGGTATGGGCAGATGGCTACACTGACAGTCTGCTGTTCGTTTACCTGAAAAAAAAAAGTGCATTTAATTTTTTTAAATTTTTTTTATTTTTTTTTTAAAAAGGTGAAGTTAGCCTTTAAAATAATTATGTTGTCGGTTTAGCTTTTGTTAAGCCTGTGAATCAGAAGAACATTTTTGTAGTAAAACTGTGTTTCTCTTTGTCATGCAGTAAAATCAACACTGGAATTTTTAAAGCTCTTTTGGCCATACTTCTCATTTGGGTCATGGGAGTGCTTTTAGTTTTGCACTCCTGTGGCCCAGATTCAGCCGACACCAATGAGCTAGTCCAGATTCTTCAAGGATCCTGACAATTAATGTTGGGATCCACCCAAATGCCTGACTGGCAGCTAGCCTGGTTTCTCAGCACGCGGCGCTGAGCCAGTCACTCCCGCCCCCTCCACAGCCTGACGGTGCAGTGAGCGCTGAAGGGGCAAAGCAGGGGCCTTGGCACTCACAATCGGCAGCGCAGCTTAAGCGGTACCTCTTTCCACCACATCCTCCAGTCCTGCCCTGTTATCCCTTGTCATTTAATAGGCAGTTGCATTTTTTTTTTACAAACTGGTAACAAGTGACTGATAAAAGAGCAAAAGACTGGGAGGAGGAAGGAGACACATAAAATGCCCACTATATGCCCAATTCCTGCAAAGAATTTCCTGTGGGGGAATGACTAGATCACTCCCCTCAGATGGTAGCACCATCCTTATCGCCTCTCATTAACCACCTCCTGTCCAGCCGTTGTATATAAACGGCCGGATGGTGGCAGTGCAGGGGTGGGTGGCCGTTTATAAACTGCCTCCCCACCCCCTGCTTCTGCGCGTTCCCTGGGAGCACGCAGCACCGCGATCCAGTGTCCGCTGTGTCCTCCGGACACAGTGGAACACCGATCATCGTACAGGACCTCTGTGCGAGGTCCTGATCATGTGATCACTAATTGGCCAATCAGTGATCACATGCAGAGTAGTAAGTAAGATGTCACTTCTGACATCATTGCTTACTACATGTGAAATCTATGAATGATCAGGTCACATGGTACAAGGCTATTCACAACAGCCTTGTACCATGTGACAAGCTGTGACCAATCACAGCTCACACAGTAGTTCTCAATGGCTGCAAGAATGCAGACAGAGAGAAGGAGAAATTATTGCTTTTACAGCCTTTTATGGGTGTAAAAGCAATCCGTGTAAAAAAAAAAAAAAAAATATTCATCACCCCCCACAAGTAGTACAGTGTCACCTCTGCAGGAAAAAGTTATTTTTATCAGATATTACTTACACACACATCTATCTATCTACAGTGAAGGAAATGCGTATTTGATCCCCTGCTGATTTTGAATGTTTGCCCACTCACCATGGTGACACTGTACTGCTAGGCTGACAGTATGTAAAAAAAATAATAATAAAAAAAATAAAATAAAAATGTAAAAAAAAAGTTTAAAAATTATAATTTTTTGGTTATAAACTAATTTGGGTTATTTTTTTTTTTTTTTTACTAAAGATAACGGAATAATTTGTGACCAAGATTTATGATGAAATATTATTTATTTGCAAAATGTTATAAGACAAACACTTTTTTTCAAAATTTTTGGACTTTCATTTACATAGCAAAAAAAATAAAAATCCCAGTGGTGAATAAATACCACCAAAATAAAGCTTTAGCTGTCTCAAAAAAAGGATAAAAAATTCATATGGGTACAGTGTTGCATGATCGCGCAATTGTCATTCAAAGTGTGACAGCACTGAAAGCTGAAAATTGGCCTGGACAGGAAGGGGGTAAAAGTGTCCAGACTTGAATGGTTAATGCAGAGAAAGAGACTGGGCAAGATGGAATATGGATGATATGAATGCAAAAGGTAACACAGATTAGCTGGCATGAATTCATACACAACATTGTAATTGCAATTTCAGAGCATTTGCATTAAAAAAAATATATACTTTTAGTTCTGTTTTAAAAATATACTGGTTGCTTCACTACAACGGATTTAGATGAGGACTAAGTGTCTGGTGATTATCTGCCCCTGTCCTAATTAATCTTGCTGGCTAGCTCTGGAATGTGCGCACATAAAGAAACTCACACTGACACGTTTGGTCTGTGAAAACTTCTCTTTATTGAAATGAAAAAGTGAGTTTATATATGCAAAATGATGCGAACATCATGTGAGAACAGCATAAGCATTATATTAGTCTTTGATTGGTCACTCTACACGAAAACAATCTTCTTCAGAGTATAGGCGTGATTTTGGTCGATGTCTTATCTATAGAAAGAAAAATATTCCTCTGTCTTCAAATTCACTCGATGGGAGGGGTTGCTGAGCAGACATTTCTTGAGCAAGGAGGACTACAAAGACCAGCAGACAACAAATATACACATACATATATATTCATACAAAGCATTTAGAAATATAAAAGTAGATATATATAGAAAAATGTATATATTCAACAAATAGGCATTTTACCATATCCATCACACAACTAGCTGTAGTTTAGATCAGGAAACCTACTGAAATATTTAATGCAGGCAACTGATTGCAATGCCTTTCTGGAGACATCTAGGAATTTTTGTTTCCCTTTATTTCCGGTACTTGTATAGCGCCATCCATTTACACAGCGCTTTACATATATATTGTACATTCACATCAGTCCCTAACCCTCAAGGGGCGTACAATGTAAGGTCCCTAACGCACATTCATACATACACATACTAGGGTCAGTTTAGAAAGGAGACAATTGGCCTACCAGCATGTCTTTGGAGTGTGGGAGAAAACCGGAGTATCTGGAGGAAACCCGCACAGGAGAACATGCAAACTCCAGGCAAGTGCTGTTTGTTTGAGATTCAAACAGATAGCCCTAGTGCTGCCAGGCAGGAAGTGCTAACCTTTTCTCCACTGCGTTGTCCTTTGTGTGTTGAGATTGGTGGTGTTTAGCTATTCTCCAGACCCAGGAGCGCTGGCTTGAGAGCCTCTGAACGTTGATGCACATTTTTTTATTTTTCTAGTGAATTGTGTACTTTTTTGTTATAGAGGTGTGTAATCTGTTCCGATCTCTCTCTCTTGTACAGGTGATAGGAATGCACTATTTCTCCCCTGTGGATAAGATGCAGCTATTAGAAATAATCACTACAGATAAAACCTCCCAGGACACAGCAGCCTCCGCTGTAGCTGTTGGGCTGAAGCAGGGCAAAGTCATCATCGTGGTGAAGGTGAGGGAACGGCAGACTTAGATTATCTGAATTTGTAAGCCGGTTTTAATTTTCTTTTGTTGTAACTTTGGTTCTCAACCTCCTTCCATGCACAGACGCAAGTGGAGAAAGCTGTATAGACTAGAAAGGGTTAAGACGGTCTCGGTTACAGTTCCATAAATTGACCTCTGCAGGAAAAAGTTATTTTTATCAGATATTACTTACACACACACCTATCTATCTACAGTGAAGGAAATGCGTATTTGATCCCCTGCTGATTTTGAATGTTTGCCCACTCACAAAAAAATGATTGGTCTAAAAATCGAATGTTCGGTGTATTGTAACACTGAGAGACAGAATAACAACAAAAAATTCAAAAGAAATGCATGTCTAACAAATGATGACTGATTTGCATGTTCATGAGGGAAATAAGTATTTGATCCCCTTCACAAAACATGACTTAGTACTTGGTGGCAAATCCCTTGTTGGCAATCACAGAGGTCAGATGTTTCCTGGAGTTGGCCACCAGGTTTGCACACATCTCAGGAGGGATTTTGGCCCACTCCTCTTGGCAGATCCTCTCCAAGTCATTAAGGGTTGGTGACTGACGTTTGGCGACTAGAACTTTTAGCTCCCTCCACATATTTTCAATCGGATGAAGGTCTGGAGACTCGCTAGACCACTCCAGGACCTTAATGTGCTTCTTCTTGATCCACTCCTTTGTTGCCTTGGTCATGTGTTTTGGGTCATTGTCATGCTGGAACATCCATCTACGACCCATTTTCAATGCCCTGGCTGAGGGAAGAAGGTTCTTACCCAAGATTTGACGGTACGCTGCCCCGTCCATCGTCCCTTTGATGTGGTGCAGTTGTCCTGTCTCCTAAGCAGAAAAACACCCCCAAAGCAGAATGTTTCCACCACCATGTTTGACAGTTGGGATGGTGTTCTTGGGGTCATAGGCAGCATTCCTCCTCCTCCAAACACGGTGAGCTGAGTTGATGCCAAAGAGCTCGATATCGGTCTCATCTAACCTCAACACTTTCAACCAGTCCTCCTCTGCATCATTCAGATGTTCAGTGGCAAACTTCAGACTGGCCTGGACATGTGCTTTCTTGAGCAGAGGGACCTTGCGGGCACTGCAGGATTGCAATCTTTGTCGGCGTAGTGTGTTACCAATTGTTTTCTTGGTGACTGTGGTCCCAGCTGCCTGGAGATCATTGACAAGATCCTCACATGTAGTTCTGGGATGATTCCTCACTGTTCACATGATCATTGATACTCCACGAGGTGAGATCTTGCATGGTGCACCAGACCTAGGGAGACTGACAGTTGCTTTGTGTTTCTTCCATTTGCGAATGATTGCACCAACTGTTGTCACCTTCTCACCAAGCTGCTTGGCAATAGTTTGGTAGCCCAGTCCAGCCTTTTGTAGGTCTACAGTCTTGTCCCTGACATCCTTGGACAGCTCTTTGGCATGGTGGAGAGTTTGGAATCTGATTGTTCCTGTGGACAGGTGCCTTTTTATACAGGTAACAAAATGAGATTAACAGCACTCCCTTTAAGAGACTGCTTCTAATCTCAGCTTGTTACCTGTATGAAAGACACCTGGTAGCCAGAAATTCTGCTGAATGATAGGGGATCAAATACTTATTTCCCTCATGAACATGCAAATCAGTGCATCATTTGTTAGACATGCATTTCTTTTTTGTTGCTATTCTGTCTCTCTGTGTTACAATACACCTACCATTCGATTTTTAGATTTCCTTCACTGCGTGTGTGTGTGTGTATGTGTGTGTATATGTATGTATGTATATATATATATATATATATATATATATATATATATATATATATATATATATATATATATATATATATATATATATAATGAAATTGCCCAAGGCATTTTAACAAATAGTTAAGCTCAGTATTAATGTTTCTTGTGATGGAAAATCTCATTTCAAATTTAGACCATTATGCCCCTTTGGAGGTGGACCTGATCGGATAGTCCATTCACATCTATGGACTGGCGGGTGTAAGCAGACTTGGGTCCGTTTTACACGCACCTACCTCCAATCCAATCTGGTCTGTTGAAAAAGGGGGGGATCCGTTCCCCTCAATCTAGGCAAATCAGTTCAGGGGCAGTTGAGTGTACACACAGGCAGAGACCATTTACACCCGGCAGTCCATAGAGCAGAGCAGGCTCTGTCCGTGTCGGCTCTGCATAAACTGTCATCCACCCACTCTGTTCTGATCAGTAGGGAATCCGTAGACCGATTCCCTGCTGATCATAACAGAGTCCGCCCCATGTGAAAGTGTGATCCCATATGAGTTCTGGTATTTCTTCACCGTCAGTGAGCAATGTCAATACTGAAAACAAGTGATAAATGCTGCCTTCTCCTCTACTTGGCCTCATGCCGATACTTGTGCTGCCATCTAGCGTCTGAAAATGCACTGCCATACAGTCACAAATCTCTGTAGTTTGCATTCTTTTTATCTGCAGGGCTTTGTAATTGGATCCCATTTAGGAATCAGAATAATTTGTGTCTTTTGTAATAGGGAAAGCCATATTTCCCTTTTTATAGTTTTAAAGATTCAGTTCACCCAAAATTTGGTATTTTAGTGTTTGATAAATGCTGAGAAGTTAAAGCAAATTTAGGATAAACCTTCCCACTCCCAGCATGCCTAGAACTGAAATCAGATCAGGGTGGATACTTTTACAATACATTTAAATGATACTTGGTGTAACATGAAGGCTTTTGTTTCGATTCCTATTCCTACACCTACTTTTACTGTTTAACCCACTTTCAGGATGGGCCAGGATTTTATACCACAAGGTGTCTGGGCCCCATGATGGCAGAAGTTGTGCGAGTTCTACAGGTCAGTCATAAATATTCTTTGTATATATCTGTTCGATAGGTTATGTTTATTCTTTCTCTATACATCTTCTGGTTTGTATTCTTTTCTCTGTCAGGAAGGGGTTGCCCCCAAGAAACTGGATGCTCTTTCCACTGGATTTGGGTTCCCAGTGGGTGCCTCTACTCTGGCTGATGAAGTCGGGATTGACGTGGCAGCTCATGTGGCAGAAGATCTAGGAAAAGCTTTTGGCGAGCGCTTTGGAGGAGGCAACATTGAATTGTTGAAAGCCATGGTGCAGAAGGGATTCCTGGGTACGTTTTTGGGACTCTATGGGAGAGATTTACTAAAACTGGAGCGCTCAGAATCTGGTGCAGCTGTGCATGGTAGCCAATCAACTTCTCACTTCAGCTTGTTCAGTTAAGGCATTGACAAACCTGGAAGCTGATTGGTTTCTATGCAAAGCTGCACAGGATTTTGCATTCTCCATTTTTAGTAAATAACTGGTTTACAAGTATGTTATTTTGCTTACATTGTAGGCACACAGATGTTATAGTAACTGATGGGGAATGGTAATAAAATAAAACTTTTTTTTCATATGTCATTATGCACAATGAAGTGATCAAAACATTTGTGCAACGATTTTTGTTACTTAGGATATTAAAGTGTTAATAAACCCTGGACCCTGCATTCACTGTATCTAGTCTCCCACAGTACATACAATATGGAAATGCAATTTAGTAAATATAAACTGCTAAATACCTTTTCTCATCAGCAGTATATAGCAGTCTTGTGACTTCTATCAGTGTCCAGCAGAGCACTGGTTAATTGTGTTTGGAGGAGTGGCTGTCCTATGAGGCCATTTTTACTGTTTAATGACGAGTAAATATACTTACAAGACAAGCGAATCCTGCACTGTCCTCTGCTGCTGCACAGCCAGTCTTGCACTCGCCTCTTTCTTCAGATCATCAGGAGCCAGCTGTCCCTTCTGTTTGCTGCAGCATGTCCTCTGATGAAGCAGCATCAGATCTGTCACATGCATAAGGTGAGATCTGGCACCAGGACATGTAGTTTTATATGTAGGTGCAAGATCTCACAAAGTTCCCCCTGATGAACAAAACTGCCGCCTCCTGGTAGGCTGCAGGAACAAAACCGCCGCCTCCTGGTAGGCTGCAGGAACAAAACCGCCGCCTCCTGGTAGGCTGCAGGAACAAAACCGCCGCCTCCTGGTAGGCTGCAGGAACAAAACCGCCGCCTCCTGGTAGGCTGCAGGAACAAAACCGCCGCCTCCTGGTAGGCTGCAGGAACAAAACCGCCGCCTCCTGGTAGGCTGCAGGAACAAAACCGCCGCCTCCTGGTAGGCTGCAGGAACAAAACCGCCCTCCTGGCCTCCTGGTAGGCTGCAGGAACAAAACTGCCGCCTCCTGGTAGGCTGCAGGAACAAAACCGCCGCCTCCTGGTAGGCTGCAGGAACAAAACTGCCGCCTCCTGGTAGGCTGCAGGAACAAAACTGCCGCCTCCTGGTAGGCTGCAGGAACAAAACTGCCGCCTCCTGGTAGGCTGCAGGAACAAAACTGCCGCCTCCTGGTAGGCTGCAGGAACAAAACTGCCGCCTCCTGGTAGGCTGCAGGAACAAAACTGGCCTCCTGGTTGGCTGCAGGAATTAGCTGAAATGTTGTGATCTCCAAGACGGGCTATGAGGAATAGGAGGGGGTTGTAAGCAAAGGATAAAAAAAAAAAAAAAAAAAACGAGATATTTACTAGCCCTGACATACTGTATATAAAAAAGAAAAAAGTCATATTTTTAATATTGAGGAGGAGAGAGGATATTTTTGTAATTTTTAGCCGAAAGGTTTGATTTAATAAAATGCTTAAAGGAAATGTTAATTCTCAACATATTCACATTTTATGATTTTTGTTACAGTTTAGGTGCTTGTTCCAGGTTTTCGTTCACAGATCTGTTGATTCTTTCCCTTTTAGGCAGTCTGTAATCAATACTGTACAGTCCTGCCAAATAATAGTTGAGGAAATATTAGTAGGCTACATAGAAGTTTTTCAGTCATTCTGAACAGATGCGTAGACTTATCTGTGTGCCAGTACTGTGCTCTGCAGGGACGAAGGGATCAGAAAGTGAAACCACAGCATACAGTGGACAGGTAAGTATTTTTTTTCTTTTTACATGCTGGCTTCAACCGACTGCTTTAAGCAGGTGATGGGGAAGGGGTGGGGGTTTGGCAATTTGATATTCAGAATTGGCACTTGCTGGACTGCCACGCCTCTATTTGTTAACCCATTTTGAGTACCCATGTGTTCTGAACCCCTTTATACAAGATGATTAAATGACTCCATTCCTTGGAGAAACATGGGGCTACCATTGCTCCCCTTGTTCTGAAAATGCTTGTTACCTGGCTCTCTGTCCTCAGTGTCCTGACCAAAGAGAAGATGGCGGTGCTGGCTGAGAGAACCAGGTACAGCATGAGAAAGCTCTGATTTCTCAGCACTAGAGGAGAGAAAATGTCAAGGTTCATCTGCTATATATCGTTTGTATACTTACACTTAGTTGCAGGCAGGAGCCCTGGGGACCTCACTTATGCTTCTGGTCATGTTGAATGGAGGAGACCTTGTTTATGGTGAATGGAGGAGACCTTGTTTATGGTGTGCCTGTGCATTATTTATAACATCTAAATGAGGATTATATTCCATAAGCTGTATTTTACATGGAAGAGTTATTTTAACCTGGTTATTTACCTCTTGATAATTTTAACCTATTATTCAATTCTCCTGCTGAAATATGTTATTGGAATCCTTTTTTCCGCATGAAATTGGCACTTTCATTGCCTTTGTGAACGCAGCCTCATGAACGCAGAGCCTGAACATCCTTGTGTTTTTGTCGTAGGCCGTAAATCCGGGAAAGGCTTCTACATCTACCAGCAGGGAGTGAAGGACAGAGCCATCAACTCTGGTACAGAGGGAACTTCTGGCGAAATTCAAGCTGCAGGCCAGACCTGAAGTGTAAGTCTTAATATGATTAAACAAAAGAAATGGCAGCAGCTCCCTCAGTTTATAGCTTTAAAAAAAAAAAAGGGTCAGGGAGTGTACCAAAAGAAAGAAAAAGTGCTTTGCCCTGCTTGCTGGTTATTTACAATAGGTATAGAACAGTCACCCCCCTTTTATTATTATTATTATTATTATTTATTATTATACAGTATTTATATGGCGCTAAAAGGTTTGCTCAGCGCTGTACAATATAGTGGGGGACAGTACATTAGACAATACAGTAACAAAACACGAGGGGTTCAAGGGCCCTGCTCTTTCAAGCTTGCAATCTAGGAGGGAGGGGATAGTGGTACAGGAGGGAGTGGCTGTGGGGGATGGAGTGGAGGAGATTGGCTGTTAGGTGAGGGTGGGGTAGGCTTCCTGTCAAGGTCCTACCTTTTTACCAGAGGTTATGTTACTCCATGTGCTGGCATCCATCTTGGATTTCTGCAGAGCATGGTGGGAATCTTTTATGCCTTCAGGTCTCTGAGGTCCATCCCCCAGAGGGGTGTGGCTGATGACATATAAGCCTGTGTTCCGCACATGCTCTTTGCACTTGTGTCTTTGTGTTGCTGTTACTCTGTTCTGACTCTCGTGACGCTCCTGGAATCTGACTCGGCTTGTGACCTGACCATTCTTTGTGTTCTCCTTTGATCTGACCCTCCGTTGCTGAACCCGGCTCGTGACCTGTGATTCTCGTCTGCTGTCCTGTACCGTTTTTGTCTCGTTGTTGTTGACCCGGCCTGTCCGACTACTCTATTGTCTTTACCAATAGCTACACGCCATTGGCGGCGGCCATTACCGCAGCTGGGGTGCCTCGGGGGCCGCGACCTGGTTCCTGGCTGCGTCAAGTCCATCCCCACCATCAGGGGCCCTGGTGAAGGGCAGCCTGGGACTTAGACTCCGCGCCCTGAGGGACTTCGGTCTGTGGGTGGTGGTTGTTGTCAGCCTGTGCGTTACATTGATATTAGGCCTGCCTGTCCGTTTCCCAGCTCCTGCCCTGACACTTCCCTGAAGAGATAGGTTTTCAGGGTGAGTCTAAAGGTGAGGAGGGTAGGTGACAGTCTGATGGATTGGGGTAGTGAGTTCCAGAGGATGGGGGGGAAGTCCTGCAGTCGGGCGTGGGAGGTGGAGACCAGGGAGCTAGAAAGTAGGAGGTCTTGTGAGGAGCGAAGATTACGGGTTGGGTGGTATTTGGGTATCAGGTCGGTGAGGTAGTTTGGGGCAGCGTTATGAATGGCTTTGTATGTCAGTGTTAGTAGTTTGAATTTAATGCGTTGGGCAATCGGGAGCCAGTGGAGGGAATGACAGAGGGGGTTGGCGGATACGGAGCGGTTGGTAAGGTGGATGAGTCTGGCCGCTGAGTTCAGGATAGACTGAAGCGGGGATAGTCTGTGATGAGGTAGGCTGGTGAGGAGGGAGTTGCAGTAGTCCAGATGTGAGATAATAAGGGAATGAACGAGTTGTTTAGTAGTGTCCGGGGTTAGGAACAAACGTATTTTGGAGATGTTGCGGAGGTGGAGCCTGCATGAGTTTTCCAACGATTGGACATGGGGTTGGAAGGACAGGTTTGACTCTAGAGTGACACCTAGGACTTTGGCTTGCGGGGTGGGACTGATGGGGGCATTGTTGGTCGTGATGGAGAGGATGGGGGGGGGGGGCGCGGGCTGGCGGGAAAATTAGGAGCTCGGTTTTGGAAAGGTTCAACTTGAGGAAATGGAGCGACATCCAGTCTGATATGTCGTTCACTAGGAGGGCGATACGGGCGGAGAATGAAGGGGTGAGGTGAGGGGTGGAGAGGTAAATTTGCGTGTCATCGGTGTAGAGGTGATAGTTGAAGCCGTGGGAGTGTATCAGTTTGCCGAGGGAGGAGGTGTAGATGGAGAAGAGAAGGGGCCCGAGGACAGAGCCTTGGGGGACCCCAACAGAGAGAGGGGGAGGTGGTAGCGTTAGAGGTAACGTTGAAGGAGCGTTGGGATAGATAGGAGGAGAGCCAGGAGAGAGCGGAGTCTCTGATGCCAAGGGAGTGTAGTTTATTAAAGAGGAGGGGGTGGTCAACTGTGTCGACGGCCGCAGAGAGGTCAAGGAGTAAGAGGACTGAGTAGTGGCCATTAGCTTTGGCGGTTAGCAGGTCATTGAATGATTTTGAGTAGAGCGGTTTCGGTGGAGTGTAGGGGACAGAAGTCAGACTGTAGTGGATCAAGGAGGTTGTTGTCAGTAAGGTGGGCACATAGGCGATTGTAGACTAAGCGCTCAAGGAGCTTAGACGTAAATGGCAGCAGTGAGATGGGTCTAAGGTTGTTCAGGTCGGTGGGGTCCAGGGAGGGTTTTTTGAGTTTGGGGGTGAGGTGCACGTGTTTTAGGGGGAAGGGGAATGCACCAGTGGAGAGGGAGAGATTGAAGATGTGGGTGAGGGAGCGTAGGATGGAGGAGGAGGGTGACTGTAGGTGTTGTGTGTGGGGACAGGGTCAAGGGGGCAAGTGGTGAGGTGGGCGAGTTGATGGGGTTATAGTGGGAGGGAGGCTAGGTGGGGAGGTAGGTTGAGCATTGGCGATGTCCTTACGGATTACGTCCATCTTATTTTGGAAGTGATTTAAAATAATCACTTTTATTGCTTTGCAGCCTGAAATGAAGACAGGCAAATTTTTTGTTTTATCCAGCTGTATGTACTCAGTGCAAATTATAACATCCAAGTGAAAGATATAACACCAACATGTCACCAACTCGTTGCACCTCCTTTTGCTTTAATTCCAGCGTTTAGTCTGTTGGGATTTGTCTCTGCTAACTTTGCACATCTAGACTTTGCAATATTTGCCTGTTTTTTTGCAGAATTGACGTTCAGTTCAATTTTATGGGAACCGTTTGTGGACTGCACTTTTCAAGTCATTCCAGTTTTCAATGGGGTTTAGGTCTGGGTTCTGACTAGGCCATGCAAGGGCATTTACCTTTTTCTCTTCCAACCACTGTAGGCTAATTTTTCCTGTGTGATTTTTCTCATTGTCCTGTTGGAAGGTAAACCACCTTTCCATTGGCAATGTTCTGGCAGAAGGCAGCAGATTTTCCTCCCAGAATGTGACAGGATTTGCCCCGTACATTTTTTTTTTTTTCTTCTCTCCTTACGAGTTCTCCAAACCCTGCTGTAGAGAAACCTCCATAACAGGATATCCCCCCTCCATGCTTTGCTGTAAGAATGGTGTTATTTGTATGGGGAACTGGATTGGATTTCCACCGAGACATACAGTTAGATCCATATATATTTGGACACAGGCACAATTTTAATTCTTTTTGCTCTGTATGATACCAGAATAAATTAAAACGAAACAATCCAAATGATATTGAAGTGCAGACTTTCAGCTTCAATTCAAGGGGTTGAACATATATGTCAAGTACAAATGTTAGGAAGTGCAACCATTTTTATACACAGTCCCTCCATTTTCAGGGCCTCAAATGTAATTGGACAAATTAATATAATCGTAAATAAAATGTTTTGTTGAGAATCCTTACTGGCAATGACTGCCTGAAGTCTGGAACCCATGGACATGACCAAAGATTGGGTTTCCTCCTTTCTGATGCTTTGCCTGAAGTCTGGAACCCATGGACATCACCAAAGACTGGGTTTCCTCCTTTCTGATGCTTTGCCAGGCTCTAACTGCAGCTGTCTTCAGTTGTTCTTTGTGGGTCTTTCTGCCTTTAGTTTTGCCTTCAGCAAGTGAAATCCATGCTGAATTGGGTTGAGATCAGGTGATTGACTCGGCCATTGCAGAATATTCCACTTCTTTTCCTTCAAAACCTCCTGGGTTGCTTTTGCAGTGTGTTTTGGATCATTGTCCATCTGTACTGTGAAGTGCTGTCCAATCAACTTTGCTGCATTTGGCTGAATCTGGGCTGACAGTATATCTGTAAACACTGCAGAATTCATCCGGCTGCTTCCGTCTTCTGTCACATCATCAATAAACACCAATGACCCAGTGCCACTGGAAGCCATGCATGCCCATGCCATCACACTGCCTCCACCCATGCCATCACACCGCCTCCACCATGTTTTACAGATGATGTTGTGTGCTTTGGATCATGAGCTGTTCCAAGCCTTCTCCACACTTTTTTCTTCCCGTCATTCTGGTGCAGATTCATCTTTGTTTCATCCATCCAAAGAATGCTTTTCCAGAACTGACCTAGCTTTTTTAGATGTTTTGTTGGCAAAGTCTAATTTGCCTTTTCTATTCGTCAGGCTTATGAATGGTTTTCACATTGTGGTGAACAGTCTGTATTTGCTCTCGTGAAGTCTTCTCTTGATTGTAGACTTTGACAATCATACGCTCACCTCCTGGAGAGTGTCCTTCACTTGTCTGGATGTTGTGAATGGGTTTTTCTTTACCATAGAGAGGTTCCTGCGATCATATACCACTGTTGTCTTCCGTGGACATCCATACCTTTTTTATGTTGCTGAGCTCACCAGTGCATTCTTCTTTCCTCATAATGTACCAAACTGTTTGTTTGGCCACTCCTAATGTTGCTGCTATGTCTCTGATGGATTTGTTTTCGTTTTTGAAGCCTTATGGCCTGTTTTCACTTGCATGGACAGCTCCTTTGAACGCATAATGTGGGTTCACAGCAGTAGATTCCAAATGCAAATACCACACTTAGAATCAACTCCAGACCTTTTCTATGCTTAATTTGTGAAGAAATAATGGAGTAGCCCACACCTGGCCATGAAACAGCTTTTGAGTCAATTGTCCAATTACTTTTGGTCCCTTGAAAAAGGGGGGATGGCTACTCTTAAGAGCTGTAATTCCTAAACCCTTCCTCCAATTTGGATGTACATACCCTCAAGTTAAACCTGAGAGTGTGCGCTTTCAGTTCATATCCATTATATAACTATAACTTGAATATGTTTTGGTAAATACCTGACAAAAACTAAAATTGTGCCTGTGTCCAAATATATATGGACCTAACTGTATCATTTAGTGTTGAGGCAAAATAATTAAATCTTAGTTTCATCTGACCAGAACACCTTTTTCCATGCAGCCTCAGAATCTTCAAGGTGCGTTTTTGGCAAAGCTCAGTGGTGGCTGCACGTGGCCTTTCTTGAGGATCGGCTTTTTTCTTGCAACCTTTTCCTTACAAGCCACATTTGTGATATTGTTGTCACAATGACCACTGTGTCCTGACACGGCTTCAGAGTTGCTGTAGGCCTCTTGGTCGCCTCTCTGACCAGTTTCCGCCTGGCTCTTTCATCCAGTTTGGAGTGACGTCCTGATCCAGAGAGGGTCTGTGCTGTATCAAATACCTTCCGCTGCTTAACAATAGACTTCACCATGCTTCTAGGCATTGATAAAGCCTTTGAAATGTTTTTTTATCCATCTCCTGACTTGTGCCTGTCCACTACCTTATCCTGGAGATTTTCTGACAGTTCCTTGCCACTCGTAGTTAATTGTGTGCTTCAGATGCGCTATCAGAGACTGAAATGCTCCAGGAGAGCTCTTTATTTTCATTTTAGTTACCCCTCCCCCCCAGAAATCCCAGGTCTGTCTATCTCACCGTACTAGTTCATATAAGAAGCAGGAAGGTTATTCAACTTGCCAGAACCACGGAAACTTAAATAGTGTGAGTGACATTTGGTCTTTAACCGCCTCCCACCCGCCATATAAGGAAATGACGGGCGCAAGGCTGTTCTCTCGTTCTGGGAGGACGTCATATGACATCCTCCCACTCAAATCACGCTGACAGCTCGTGAGAAGAGGAGAGCTTGTAATCGGCATTCCTCAGAGGGGACATGTACACTGATCATCAGGGCACTGATGATCAGTGCAGCTCCATCGGTGCTACATCAATGCCACATATCAGTGCCCATCTGAGCTGCCTATCAGTGCCGCATGAGTGATGCCTGTCAATGCCCGTCAGTGCAGCCTATCAGTGCCCATCACTGCAGCCTCATTAGCGCACATCAGTGAAGGAGGAGAAAAATCACTTATTTACAAAATTTTATAACAAACTAAGAAACGTGTTTTTGTTTTTGTTTTTTTTTATCAGTTTTTGCTTTGTTTAGCAAAAAATAAACCCAGAGGTGATCAAATACCACCACAAGAAAGCTCTATCTACCAAAAAATAAATTGATAAAAATGTTATGAGTACAATGTTGCATGACTGCGCAGTTGCCATTCAAAGTGTGACAGCACTGAAAGCTGAAAATTGGCCTGGGCGGGAAGGGGTATAAGGGCCCTGTAGGCGAGGGGTTAAAAGACACTTTTTACTGCAGTCTTTCTCATCCTTTTCAACACAGAGGAACCCTTGAAATGACTTTCCAATCTGACAGAACCCCTGCTAAAAATGACTATATCTATAACTCCTGATACATTACTAAGATGGTCATTGGGAAGAATGCTCCTTACAATTGTGGTCATTGGAAAGAAATAGCTAAAAAGATCAATGATTGTCAGTGGGAGGTAAAAAAAATTGCTCATTGATCAAGGAACCCCTGGCAACTTCTGGAGGAACCTTAGGGTTCCACGGAACCCTGGTCGAGAAACCCTGTTTTACTGTATCCTTTTTTTTTTTTTTGTCGCAGCTGCACCGATGAGGACATCCAACTGCGTCTGGTCACCCGGTTTGTGAATGAAGCCATCATGTGCTTGCAGGAAGGAATCTTGAGCAATCCAGTTGAGGGAGATATCGGTGCTGTGTTTGGCCTGGGCTTCCCGCCATGCCTTGGAGGTAAGATCGTATTTGATCTATTAGCACTTTCTGTGCTGCTATATCTGGAAGGCAGCACTATGTCAGCAGGAAACATTCACTGACGTAGTTATATGGTTGTTTTCCACAATAGAGAATGTGAGGGGATTGGGGGGGAGCTGCAAGGATATCCATTCTTTGCAAATGTGTATTTACCTTTCATTTGCCGTATCTAGACATAGTGTTTGCAGACTGAACTCTGTGCAAATTTTCCTAAATCTAAACTTCAGACATACAGGTGAAACTCCAAAAATTAGAATATTGTGCAAAAGTTCATTTATTTCAGTGCAGCAACTTAAAAGGTGAAACTAATATATGAGATAGACTCATTACATGCAAAGCAAGATAGTTCAAGCCGTGATTTGTCATAATTGTGATGATTATGGCTGACAGCTCATGAAAACCCCAAATCCACAATCTCAGAAAATTAGAATATTACATGCAATCAATAAAACAAGGATTGTACATAGAATATCGGACCTCTGAAAAGTAGAAGCATGCATATGTACTCAGTACTTGGTTTGGGCCCCTTTTGCAGCAATTACTGCCTCAATGTGGCGTGGCATGGAAGCTATCAGCCTGTGGCACTGCTGAGGTGTTATGGAAGACCAGGATGCTCCAATAGCGGCCTTCAGCTCTTCTGCATTGTTCGCTCTCATGTCTCTCATCTTTCTCTTGGCAATGCCCCATAGATTCTCTATGGGGTTCAGGTCAGTCGAGTTTGCTGGCCAATCAAGCACAGTAATCCCACGGTCCTTGAACCAGGTTTTGGTGCTTTTGGCAGTGTGGGCAGGTGCCAAGTCATGCTGGAAAATGAAGTCAGCATCCCCATAAAGCTCGTCTGTGGAAGGAAGCATGAAGTGCTCCAAAATCTCCTGGTAGACTGCTGCGTTGACCCTGGATTTAATGAAGCACAGTGGACCAACACCAGCAGATGACATGGCTCCCCAAATCAACAGACTGTGGAAACTTCACACTGGACTTCAAGCATCTTGCAGTGTGTGCCTCTCCATTCTTCCTCCATACTCTGGGTCCTTGGTTTCCAAATGAGATGCAAAAGTTGCTCTCATCAGAAAAGAGGACTTTGGACCACTGAGCAACAGACCAGGTCTGTTTTTCTTTAGCCCAGTTTAGATGCTTCTGACGTTCTTTGTTGTTCAGGAGCGGCTTGACAAGAGGAATACGACATTTGAAGCCCATGTCCAGGATCCGTCTGTGTGTGGTGGCTCTTGATACACTGACTCCAGCCTCAGTCCACTTCTTGTGAAAGTCCCCAACACTTTTGAATGGCCTTTTCCTGACCATCCTCTCCAGGCTGCGGCCATCCCTGCTGCTTGTGCACCTTTTTCTTCCACACTTTTCCCTTCCACATAAATTTCTATTAATGTGCTTTGATACAGCACTTTGGGAACATCCAACTTCTACTGCAATTACCTTTTGAGGCTTTCCCTCCTTATGGAGGGTGTCAATGATGGTTTTCTGCACAACTGTCAGGTCAGCAGTCTTTCCCATGATTGTGATTCCTACTGAACCAGACTGAGAGACCATTTAAAGGCTCAGGAACCCTTTGCAGGTGTTTTGACTTAATTAGCTGATTAGAGTGGGACACTTTGAGTTGAGAATATTGCACCTTTTCATATTCTCATTTTCTGAGATTGTGGATTTGGGGTTTTCATGAGCTGTAAGCCATAATCATGCAACTTGGCACCTCCTATGGGCAGTCTCCTCTGGGCATAAAACCCCTCTCTGCTATAGGCCGTCAGACATGCTGCCTAGTGTCTCCAGGATTATGGATGTGATCTTATGCTGGGAACTGTGGTCCCATGGCTTTTTTTCTTATCTTTTTTTTTTCCTGGGATTTTTTTCGTTTCCAGCGGAGATTTTCTATCTATTTCTGGGGTAGGCGATGGGCTGGATAATCTAGATTCAGTGATCACCCCAGTCTGACCATCGAGTGCATGTAGACCGCTAACTCTGCGCTCAGTTGGTCACAACGATGCACCATCCTGGACCGGGGCGGCCAGCGAGTTAAACGGCTCCCGGGGGATACATATGTCCGGATGCCTATAGTCACAGTATTACCCCTGGCCGACAGCCCCCCAGTTTGGTGAAGAGGATATGTCATGGGAGCATTATCCACACACACTAGCTGGATTGGCAAGTAGATGCCCACTCCCCTCCATTGCCGCACATGCTGTGGGGTGCGGGTACTCCCGCACTACTGAAATAAATGAACTTTTGCACGATATTCTAATTTTTTTGTGTGTGTGTGTGTTTGTATTCCAGACAGATTTGTAAAACAGTTTTATCTAGAAAGTTTAGTTTTCCAATGCACATTACTCTACAGTGTCAGCTCGGAAGTAAAAGTTTTGATTATCCACATTCTCTACCTGCTCAGCAGCTGTGATTTTTTTGCTTTACATATGAAACCCTTGTATCTGCGCCACACAGGTCCATTCAGATACACGGACGCCTATGGAGCAAAGCGTATTGTGGAGAAGATGAGGAAATATGAAAGCGTGTACGGAAGTCAGTTCACCCCCTGCCAGCTCCTGCTTGACCACGCCAATGACCCCAGCAAGAAGTTCCACCACTAACTATCTACCTGTATCAGGGCTGTGTCCAGTGTTTGAGCCCTGAGACCAATGATTGTAAGGAGGCCGCGGAGGAGAGGGAAGGCTAGAAGCCGTACGTGCCTTAGATCTACGATTACTCAGGCACTGCATCCCGCCTTGAAGAAGCTTTTCTTGAATGGAGTTTAATTTTTGCACTTAGCGCTGGCTAAAAGACTTAACTCGAATGTCCCGTGTGGATGAGGAAACCTAGATGTCTGAATCCCAGCAATGCGTCCATTCCACTGTGGGCATAAATAATAAAACGTTTCATTTCTGTTTTGTGCTGTGGCTGATTTTCATTTATGGGGGTTGTCTAGACTTCTTTTTAGCTTTTTTTTTGTTTTTTTTTTTTTTTTTTTTTTGTTTTTTTTTTTTTTTTTTTGTGTTTTTGTTTTGTTTTTTTGTTTTTTTTCCACTATGAAGACGTACCTTTTCTTGGGATGTGTAGTTCATTGACAGCAAATGACCTCCAAGATCTTAGCCATCCTGCTGATAGCACAGGGAGTAATAAAAGCTATTTCTTGCTACAAGAACACTGTAGAGGAAAATACAAAGCTAGGATGTGATTTGGTCTCCTGCACAGTGCAGCTCAAAGAAGCTGCTCCTTCAGGTGTAAGAGCTGTTCTTGAGCTTTTATTTTTCTCTGCCTGTTAGCTCCCCTCTATGCTAGCCTATGTGTCCATGCACACTATAGGCGTATAGTGGCAGACAAAAAAAAAAACATTAAGCCTGGGTTCACACTGATGCGGTGCGGAATTCGCAGCATTTTCTGTGTAAATTCCGCACTGCATCACAATCGCAGCCCATTCGTGCGAACTGCTGCGGGTGTGTATGTTAAGTTAACAACACCCCAAATTGGTCTGCAAAATGCGGTGTGATGTGCAGAATCGCATTGATTGATGATCACATATCCGATTCTAGTGCGGACCAAAAAAAAGAATCCTGCACCTTTTTGGTGCAGATGCGGTGCAATTGGAGTCATGCAAAAGGTATGGCACTCCAATCGCACCGCACACAGTTCGCATGTGATTTGCACAGAAATGCGGTGCGGTTCCTGTGTGAATCACATGTGATATATTCCGGCCTAAGGGCCAGTTCATGCTACATGCATTTCAGTTGCTTTTTTTTTTTCTGCATCCAAAACGCTCAGAAAGTAGGTTATGTGGTTGTCATAGTTCACATCAGAGCTTGCAGTTCCAGTGCATTCCGGCTGTAGAAAAAAAAAAATAGAACAGACTGCATTTTTTCTGCACAGAACTGTACTGGAATGCAGTAAAATGCATCAAAATGCACTGGAAAGCACCAAAAAAACCACACATGTCCATATTTACATTGAAGAAAAAGGGGAAAAACCACACTGGAATGCATCAAAAACGCACAAGAACTCGTCAATAACGTGCATGCAAAAACACATCTGGACTGTTTTTATAGTGTGAACCGGCCCTTAGGGCTAGTTCACACTAGTTGCAGTTCAGTGCGCTTTCCCCCCCCCCCCCCCCCGTATCAAAAATACATGCACAGTGTTTTCCATTTATTCCCATGTCCCTAGTTCACACCAGTGCAGTCAGTTTCCGGTGTAGAAAAAAAGTAGAACATGCTGCATATTTTCTGCATAGACCCATACTGGAACACCGTAAATTGCACCGGAACTACGTCTGGTGTGAACTGTAAGCAAAAATGTATCTGGAATGCATTTTTGTGTGAATTGGCTCTAAGGTGGTTATCTTTACCCTCCCCCCACCTGGAAATGCAAAAAATCATGTATACATGATTTTGCGCACCTGTGCCGCCCTGTAGCAGTATTTTCTGCGGTGGGTAAGACAGAGCACACAGAATCTGGTGCAGGTCTGATTAGTAACCCAATCAGCTTCCAGGCTTTATTGTCAAAGCTTAATTGAACAGGCTGAAGTTAAAAGCTGATTGGTTACTATGCACAGTTACAGCAGATTCTGTGCACTCCACTTGGTCAATCTTTGCCCTTGTGTCTATGGACAGTCCTATAGCTGTTTTAGGTACAGTAGCTAGTGCTTTCCTATAGCCTTCCTAGCAAAGGATTCCTATGTGGAGGGGGAGGCCAAGCTATTGGAGGGTATTGTGGTGTACAGTATGCGATAGGTCGTTTGCCAGGAACTAACAATGGGGACACTGGCCAGAGTCCTTGCTGCAGTTCGAAAACTTTGTTCAAATGAAAGCACACACCCAAAAACAGCAGACGTCAAGCATGGGTGTCAAACTGGCGGCTCTCCAGCTGTTGCCAAACTGCACGTCCCATGAGGCATTGCAAGACTGACAGTTACAAGCATGACTCCCAAAGGCAGAAGCATGATGGGACTTGTAGTTTTGTAACAGCTGGAGGGCTGCCAGTTTGACACCCTTGTACTAGACATTCATGGTGCATTTTATTGCTGGATGATATTTTGGTTATTTTTTTTTCTTTTTGTTTTTTTTTTGAGACCTTAACCACCTCCCGCCCGCCATATAAGGAAATGACGGGCGCAAGGTGGTTTTCTCGTTCTGGGAGGACGTCATATGATGTCCTCCCATTCTAACCGTGCATGCGTGGCATCGGGAGCACGGTGCGCTGTGTCTCTCGGACACAGCGGGTCAATGGAAGGAGCCAAAGATGTCGGCTTGGTCATGTGATCAGCTGTGTCCAATCATAGCTGATCACATGTAAACAGGGAAATGCCGATTATCGGCATTTGTCTCCTCACGAGCTGTCACGCTGACAGAGGAGAGGAGAGCCAGTAATCGGCATTCCTCGGAGTGGACATGTACACTGATCATCAGAGCACTGATGATCAGTGTAGCCCCAGCATTGCCACCTGTCTGTGCTTATCAGTGCCTACCAGTGCACATCAATGCCACATATCAGTGCCCATCTGAGCTGCCTTTCAGTGTCACCTATCAGTGCCATATATGAGTGCTACCTTTCAGTAATGCCTGTCAATGCCCATCAGTGCCACCTACCAGTCCCTTCTCATCCGTGCCCATCACTGCAGCCTCATTAGCGCACATCAGTGAAGGAGAAAAGTCACTTATTTACAAAATTTTATAACAAAAACTAAGAAAAGTTTTTTTTTTTTTTCAAAATTTTCAGTGGCTTTTAGTTTGTTTAGCAAAAAAATAAAAAACCCCGAGGTGATTAAATACCACCAAAAGAAAGCTCTATCTGTCACAAAAAAAAAGTAAAATTCATATGGGTACAGTGTTGCAATTGTCATTTAAAGTATGACAGCGCTGAAAGCTGAAAATTGGCCTGGGCAGGAAGGGGGTATAAGTGCCCGGTAGGTGAGTGGTTAAAGTTCAGATTTTGACCAAAAATAATAAATACATTTTTTTTTTTTTTTTTTATGTAAAAAAAAAAAAAAAAAGTGTCTATTATTTTTGGTTGCAGGAGGCTGTACAGCACAACTCCACAGCGTTGTGGTAGTTCATTGAGAATTGTTTCTAAAACTGAGCTTGTAATATTTCTACCTCCCCAATTCCCCACTCATGACTTTACCATTAAGATCAATAACAACCATTGGTCCTTCCATACATGTCAGGGCGCTAGATGTAATCCTAGACTCTGACCTCTTCTTCTGGCCCCATCTCCAATCACTGGCTAAATCCTGGCAACATCTGCAAAATTTCCAGAATCTGCCCCTTCCTGACCAATGACACCACCAAACAATTTATCCACACCTTGGTTATATCCCGCCTCGATTACTGCAACTCCCTCCTCGCTGGCCTACCTTGACCCTAGGTTCACACCTAAGCGGTGTCCTGCAGTGTTTTGCAGAAACAGTACAGTCCATTTAACATGATTTCCTATTGGACACGTTCACATCTCTGTGTTTTGACCTGGTGTGTTTTTGTTTTTTTTTTTTTGGAAAGGGTCATGGACTTTTTTTAAAATGCAAAAAGTCGTGTTTTTGGTTCTATAGCCTTCAATGGAACGCTGCAGAAAAGCATGTAGTGCAGTTTTTATATATTTTGCATTTTAAATCTGCCTAGCAATAAGAAAAAAAAGTCAAATGCATATGCAAAAACAACGCAAAAAGCACTGCAGAAATGGAGCAAATGCAAGCTGCATAGGTGTGAACCTAGCCTGCCACAGGACATCCCCCTTCAGTCTATTATGAATGCTGCTGCTAGACTCATACACCTCACTAGCCGATCTATGACTGCTGCCCCTCTCTGCCAATCCCATCACTGGTTTTCCACTAGCCCAACCTATAAAATTCAAAATATTAACCACAACAAACAAAGCCATCCACAACGCTGCCCCTAGCTACGTCACCAACCTCATCCACAGATATCGTCCAAATCATCTGCTCCGCTCCTCCCAAGACATCTTGCTCTCTAGCTCCCTCTCTCACCTCCTCCCATGCCTGCCTCCAGGACTTCTCTAGAACCTCTCCCATCCTCTGGAACTCCCTACCCCAGTATGTCCAGTCAGCTCTCACCCTGTCTGCCTTCAGATCTTGAAAACTCACTTATTCAGGGAAGCCTATCTCACCTGCACTTAAGAAATGTACTTGAATCACCTCCACTAGATCATCCCCGCAGCTATCACATTTTGTATCACCTCCCTCTTCCTTTAGAGCAGGGGTCTTCAAACTTTTAAAACAAAGGGCCAGTTTACTGCCCTTCAAACTTTATGGGGGCCAGATTGTGGCCAGTGGGAGTGGAAAATGCCCAGACATCGGTGGGAGTAAACAATATCCTAGGCTTGGTGATCAGTGGGAGGAACAGTGCCCCATCGTTAGTTCCAGTGGGGTAATTAGTTCCCCATTTCTGTTATCAGTGGGAGGAACAGTCCTGTCGTTGGGGTCAGTGGGCGGAACAGTGCCCCGTCGTTGGGGTCAGTGGGAGGGACAGTGCCCCGTAGTTGAGGTCAGTGGGAGGAACAGTGCCCCGTCGTTGGGGTCAGTGAGAGGAACAGCGTCCCGTTGTTGGGGTCAGTGGGAGGAGCAGTGCCCTATTGTTGGTGTCAG